TATTTTGTGACTTTTTAAAAACGTTTTGTACGTTTTTTCTCTTATTCTTCTTTTCTTTTCATAATGAAAATTAGATTGTAAAATAATGGTTTGCAGTTAAGTTAAGTAGCAGTATATAATCTTTCGATAATTCTTAATACTCGTTAACTATATATTTTACTCAACAGGCAATCCTATAGTAAACATGCCTGTCACCAACTTGTCGTCCGTAACTGATATTCTATATCAAATCAAACATGTATGTCCGACTTCAACTTGTCGTCCGTAACTGACATTTTATGTAAAACCAGAACAAGTCATATCCTTCAGTTATCTTTATATCCCCCACTTTTTGACATTTTTGTTTAATATGTCGCTGAATGTATGTACTTGTACTCCTCCATTTCAGTTATGGTGGAAAACAGCAAAAGTTATGCCCCTTTTCAGCGTTCTTCATCGAATGACAAACCGGCATCATAATAACCACCTGTAGACTAAGTCTTTTTGAGGGTTACTCTTCGACATTCTCATAGTTTTCTTATGAGAAAATTCTCTTTTTAATGAACGCCATTCTGGTTTTATGCAATACCATTATAGTTTTCATCAAGATATTGAAATTGATCATAATATTTGCATTGTACATGAAGAAAAAAAAATGAATGTTTAATATTTTGTGACATATCAAAAGCTTTTGACAAGGTTTAGCATTTGGGCCTTTTGGAATCAAATTTGAAATCATATGGAATTAGTGGAAAAACTTCTGGATGGTCAAATATTACCACTGAAACCGGAGAGTTATTTATTCGTGAAACACTTTTGTCCATTGCTAATATCAAAACAGGAGTATCACATGGTTCTCTTCCTAGCCCTTTACATTTTTAAGATACATGTGTACATCAATGATATTGCTGAAGTTTTACACTCCACAGTTCGTCTTTATAATGACGGTACGTCTGTTTTAAGATCCTCTACACTTCAATTTGCGTCGACATTAAAACTGAGTTACATAGCACGATCCTTGAACAAAGCAGTAGTTAGTAAGTTTTAACCCTGATGAAACAAAGGTTTTGTTAATAACAAATTCCGTACATTAAGATGGCGATTTTGTTATTTTTAGAACTGAAATGGATGTGATACATGTACTTAGGAAGTTGAATTATATTCCTAATAGGAATACTATGTTGACAGTTTAGACCACTTATTTTATCGGCTTTTAAATATATGTATTATGGTGAGTTCTTACTGAATGAATGTTAAGTATCGGTTTTGGTTCTCCGTCATATTGTAAACAAAACTGCATTAAACATTGTAACAGGATTGGAAACACTATCAGAATGAATTGCAGAGAATGAAGATCCGGTTTTACGGAGCGTATTGTAAGGAATGAAGATCCGGGTTTACGGAGAGTATTGTAAGGAGTGTACATCTGGTTTTACGGAGAGTATTGTAAGGAATGTAGATCCGGTTTTATGGAGAGTATTGTAAGGAATGTAGATCCGGTTTTATGGAGAGTATTGTAAGGAATGTAGATCCGGTTTTATGGAGAGTATTGTAAGGAATGTAGATCCGGTTTTACGGAGAGTATTGTAGGGGATGAAGCTCCGGATTTACAGAGTGTCTTGTAGGGAATGAAGATCCAATTTTACGGAGAGTATTTTAGGGAATTAAGATCCGGTTTTACGGAGAGTATTGTAGGGGATGAAGCTCCGGATATACAGAGTGTATTGTAGGGAATAAAGATCCGGATTTACAGAGTGTATTTTAGGGAATGAAGATCCGGATTTACAGAGTGAAGATCCGGTTTTACGGAGAGTATTTTAGGGAATGAAGATCCGGTTTTACGGAGAGTATTTTAGGGAATGAAGATCCGGTTTTACGGAGAGTATTTTAGGGACTGAAGATCCAATTTTACGGAGAGTATTTTAGGGAATTAAGATCCGGTTTTACGGAGAGTATTGTAGGGGATGAAGCTCCGGATATACAGAGTGTATTGTAGGGAATGAAGATCCGGATTTACAGAGTGTATTTTAGGGAATGAAGATCCGGTTTTACGGAGAGTATTTTAGGGAATGAAGATCCGGTTTTACGGAGAGTATTTTAGGGAATGGAGATCCAATTTTACGGAGAGTATTTTAGGGAATGAAGATCCGGTTTTACGGAGAACATTGTAGGGAATGAAGATCCGGTTTTGATTAGGTTGTTGAAATGGAATGTTTTTACCTTCGAACGAAATGTGAATATACATCGTTAGAAAACATTGTGTTCGGACTTACAAATAATGCGCGGAAACATCGTTAAAGCAGTATTCTATTATAAATTTGGTTTCCAGGCAATAACATTGCGATCGGTAAACAGTTTTATTTTCACCGTGTCTGGTCCTAATTTTTGGTGGATAAGAACTGAATGTATCTGCTACACTTAGGACATTACCTATATGCCTAATTAACCGGTCCTATAGCGCTAGGATTTCCCGGTATTATGTGTCGTAGACTGCAGTATTTGGTACCAATTCAAATAAATGAAAATACGATTTTTCGGTTTTGGTTGTTGATTTCTGCTGTAAGTGATAGTAATTGTAATGAAATGTTATGAGAACACCTTTCCAATGATCTGACGTAGCAAGTCATCAAATCGTGTTATGCTTCCAGCAGTTGTCGCCCTTTAAGCGTTCCTGATAATGTCTCGCGCCCTACAATTCCCCGAGTGACATAAACAATTACTAAGACCACTTTTTTGGAACAAAATCAAGAAAGATCCAAAGTTGGCGCCAGCTAATACAATGATTAAGTTTAAATCTCTAGTCCAAATTTAACCAATGGTCTAGTGAAGATCTGGTTTATAAATCATTCATAGGTCTGTATACATGTAGCTCAATGTTGTTCAACTCAATGCTTTCTAGTTCTTTCTTTAGTTTCATGTTACCTAACGTCCTATTAAGGCAGTTTCCCACGGGTCATTGTTGCACCTCCAGCGAAGGAGAGCACTTTTCACTTTCCACTGACAATGTTAATAGCCAATGGTCTAGCTGTAGGGAAAGATTAATTCAATGACTAAACTACTAACTGACTAAAATGTAATCCGTTTGGTATATGATCAACATATTTGTGTTTAAAACGTTTATTGCAATATTTGATCTCACTGATGTTTTCTATTTTGATTGTTAGAAAAAAAAGAGGATTATTATTCTAACGGAAACCAGCCCCGCAAAATTTTGTTATTTTGTTCATAACAATATAAATAATGTTATTTGAGAAAAAAAAACAGCAGCTTCTGTCAATATTGAGGTTTTGATCTTATTCATTCCCTCCACACTCCGTTTTATTGTTATATGTGTCAAAATTCATGTGTTTCCTGTCATTTATTCTCATATAAATTTATCATAGTGTATAGTTCTACGGCGTTATCTAGAATGCATGAAATGTACAGTGTCTAATGATGATTAGCTGGACATCCCACCTTAAGATAAAGTGATTAAAGGGGACAGTATTATTTTTATTTCAATAATTTCTTTCTTTCAACTAAACATTTTAAACGGATACCCTTGAACCTCTGGATTAGACGCGTGGTACTATTGTGTTTCTCTGTCTATAAGGACTCCATTCTTATTGATTATACTTTACTGTTTGTTAGTATTCATGATATCATACAGTTATCAACGAGAGAAATATGTACTTACGTCTATAAACTTATTAGGTGTTTCTGATACGACAAGGGAGAGTTAAAAACAAAACACAATTTTCTAATATGTTTGTTTGTTTTATTTTTTTTAAATCTGGAATATGAATTTTAACAGAACATAGATATATACATATACATATTCAAACAAAGAGTTTTAATACAATTATAGTCGATATAATCGCAAGTGACCTTTTGGCGAATTCGATGAAACTCGTTGATATTTCAGAAAATACTTTCATACTTAATTAACAACATTGTTTTGTGCTATATGTATGAGATGTCCAGCTCAAACCATAGAGCGAATAAAGTCATCTTATACGGTTGAGTAAATCTAGTATTGGGAGCATCCGAAATGTGGAACGGCCGCCAAGAGCATTATAACGTCACAATAAGCGTGACCAATTGTAATTACCGTCATCAATGCCTTTCGATACAACTGCAATGGATACGCGATTGGAAATGATTTACACAAATTACACCAAGCTGCAGAAAATGGCGTATTCAATGAAAGTAGATGTATTAATATCGATTATTTGATCAAAACACTGACTTTTTGACATCAGAACGTAAAACAGACCATTCACAAAGATAATACTAAAACAGTCCTCACTCACACCAAACATCCCACCACTGACTAAATTACGAAGTCTAACACCAAACATCCCACCACTGATTAACATACGAAGTTAACCACCAAACCACTTAAACACCCAATCACTAACCACTTGCTCCCAACCAATAAACAGCACATTGTAAGTGAACATTAATGAATTCTACAAAAATGGACACTGGTACGTTATACTGTGTTTTCTTAATGATATTATGCACATGGCTACAACTATGGCAAAATGACGTCATATATAGCCTGATTCTCTGTGTTTAAGTTACAAAAGAGCACCATGCACAACAAGGCTTGTTTCCTCTTCAGCAGATCACATCAATATTATTTTCCTCGACCTGGTTCCTTTATACTCCAATCTTTTTAACAAAGGAAGCTATAATTTTGTACAAGGATGTCGATTTAAATCTGTAAAGACAACTTCTTTATTTGTCTATTGTCATAAAATCTGTGCTTCCGTTTTGGACTAAAGAAGGTAACAAAAATTTCAAAGATGTCATTGTTTCCTGTCATCATCTATTCCATAGATGTACGTTAATCAACCCTCTACAAACGAAATATACGAAAACGAGGCTTGATTCCATAATTCAATCTTCTAACAGGAGTTCATCCCTGACCATTGGTGAAACGGAAAAGAGCATACTCAAACTAAGACAATATGTCCAAGAGGATGACATAAACCTTATATTTAGACATGTCACACAGTTGTTGAATCGGAACCTCCTTATGCCTGAACAGCAATTGCTGGAGGGAACTTTTTGTGAAGTTGTACAGGGGGAAGGTCGTAAGCGTGTTTGGATGGTGATGGGTTAGTGTCCATAACGTCCATTGACTTCTGTGCATTCTCTAAAAGGAAAGAGCGCGTAATGGTATGCTTTTTCGTAGGAAGCAAAGGTTTCAAAGGCAAACGTCGCGCGAAAATGCTACCCGCGCCGCTTGGTTCCGCTGTAGACGGTGCTCTTGAGTTCTCCTCATCGTCTTCATTTTTCTTGAGCGCGTCCTCATCAAACAGATATCTGGAAGTACGTTTTGGTGGACAGATAAGATCCAAAGAGTTTTTGTTTCTCTGTATGATGTTGGTGTATCGCCGACGGTTTTCATTGATCAGAGCTTTTGCCTTCCTCTCTCGCACTTTATCTGGTTCCATGTATTGCATCATGTGTTTGACGTCATGTCGGAGCGCTGTGCTGGAGTAATCATCATCGAGCGCCTTTTGATAGTCGACAGCGTTCGTTACGTTGTGCTTTTCCACCACCAGCTTGTAAGCCAGAGTGCGTTTCAGACTGTCCATTATTGTCTGACGTTCGCGTTCCCGGCGCCTCAAGTCAATCTCCGCATGGCGATCGAAAAAGTTTAGTTTAATTCGTGTTAGTTTGTTTTCAACGAAGTTGAAGGCGCGAATCCGTCTTTTGCTTCCCTCTGTCATACGATTGGTCGCCATGTATCTTGAGTTTTTGTTAAAGATACTACTGTCGGCCATCATCGCCAACTTCCGGTTGTGCACTTGTGGCATTCTGTGGACATAAAAGCAAAAAGTCTTTACTTGTCATAAGCAAAGTAAGACAAATATTTTTTCAACTTATATCTTAGAACGAGCGAAACATGCAAAGCAAGCAATAAAAAATACTTGGGAAGAAAAATAAATGAAAAAAGTCATCCATATTATCAGTCATAAAGTTGTGACATTGAAGTGGAAGTCCTAGTAACTATTTGCACCAATGGCAGATAGCAACATGACGGAAATAGTAACAAATAGTCTCGTTCATCCAGACGCTTGATCACCTTATAGGTATTGGCGTGTGCAGATGAAAAACGTCTGGTTGAACGAGAATAAGCGATTAGTATCTTTAAACGTGTTATTAAATAGATATCACCGCAAAATATTTAATTACATTTGTTTACATTAATAATAAAAAAGAGATAATACTTCGCTCGCTCCGAATGCCTTTGCCGTACCATATTATTTGGAATATAAGTACAAAACATTATGAGAGTAAATGTTTAGTGGAGTGCTGTACTTACCAAACGACTAACTAGTTAGTCGAAGAATGGACATGTTTTATACATGCATTTGTCTTAACGTCATGAATGCTTTATTCTTAATCAGCAAGCGAGCATTACGACTATATATAATGCTATATGTACCGTCAACTATTTGTTACAACAAAACTTCAGTGCATTTCAGTGCTTTAACTCATCGACATTCATCGGCCTCCTTCCGTCACGAGAGTGACATCAACAACGACTTTTTTGTTATAACTGAAGATATTTGTTTTTCACGGCTGTGCGAGGTAGACCTTGATGGAAACGTGCATATTATTTAAGACTTTTTGTTTATATATCGGGGAGACCAATAAGTTTGCAAAAACTTGATGTGGACGAAAAGAAGCAACTTAACTCATTATGAGTCGAAACATATCCAAATTACATAACTTTTTTTTTCAAAAATGTTAAGTTTTATTTTTCAATCTGGTTTTCTTAGCGACTACTATAAGCCCTGCTCACAATTAGGATAGTTTGAATTAAAACTATTTCCCTTATAAGAAGTGCGTGATCCGACACCAAATTTGACGTGTATACAAAAAAAATTATGATACTTATTTAATGTATAGAAGTTTTATATCTTCATAATAACGATATATAAATGTTTTTCTGAAGTCCTTTAAATATATTTCAATGAACAATGGTTCCCATGATGAATTACTGCTGGACCACATGGTTCTCAAGGATGAAATACAACTATGTCACGTGGTTCTCGGTATGGAGTACTGTTGGATCACGTGGTTTTCAGGAGGAATTTCTGCTGGACCAAGTTGTTCTCAGGAAGAATCACCAAAGGACCACGTGATTCCCCGGATGAACTTCTGATTCCTGTATATATGTTTGTAATCACGATACAATAGCCTCGTAATCGATTTTTTTTCTGATTGTGATCCGTTACGTGTCACATATTTATCCGGATTACCAACAAGTGTAGGTTAACGATAATCTACCATAATCGTGTTAAGCATGACAGGCCCCGCCATTTTTACGCGCCAGTGTTAGCTGGGAACCCTGGGTAATAGGAATTATGAGGCGTAATCACTTATATTCTGTAGACTGGTTACATCTTTGACACAACGATATACAACTATGTTGAGATCACGTGACACCAAGATTAGTTTAGTTCTTCATTTCAATGTTTTTTATAAACCGTGGAAGAAAACGAATCACACATACAAGCAGTGTAGTATGACGTAAAGACACCTCATACATTTTTTAAAATTATATTGTTCACGATTCTTGACTTATTTTTTATCTTAGACTCGCACAGATATCGCTCGATATCTAAGACAGATGTACCGAGAGTTCTAAGAAAGCTTAGTTTCTGTGATCGTATACGAAATCTTAAGACAATTATAGTTTGTGTAATTAGTATACATTGTACGAGAGTGTTAGGAAGGTTTAGTTTCGGGTGTCTGTACGAGAGTGTTCGGACAATTTCTTTTTCAGTTATCCGTATACGAGAGTGTTCGGACAATTTCAGTTTCAGTAATCCGTATGTGAGAGTATTAAGATAATCTTAGTTTCAGTAATCCGTATACGAGAGTGTTAGGACAATTTTAGTTTCAGTAATCTGTATAGGAGGTTAGGACAATTTTAGTTTCAGTAATCTGTATAGGAGGTTAGGACAATTTTAGTTTCAGTAATCTGTATTGGAGGTTAGGATAATTTTATTTTCAGTAATCTGTATAGGAGGTTAGGACAATTTTAGTTTCAGTAATCTGTATAGGAGGTTAGGACAATTTTAGTTTCAGTAATCTGTATAGGAGGTTAGGACAATTTTATTTTCAGTAATCTGTATAGGAGGTTAGGACAATTTTAGTTTCAGTAATCTGTATAGGAGGTTAGGATAATTTTATTTTCAGTAATCTGTATAGGAGGTTAGGACAATTTTAGTTTCAGTAATCTGTATAGGAGGTTAGGACAATTTTAGTTTCAGTAATCTGTATAGGAGAGTGTTAATAAAAAAATATGTATATCAACTTTTATCAACGTTATAAAGTTTAAATGATATATATATATATAATTATACTAACTTGGTATAATGTATTGTAATGGTTCATCCAATGACCGCTGTCCACCTCTATATTGACACATCGGACGGATGAATCCTCTGAACTCTACAAGCCATTAGTTAAGGTTTTGTTCATATAAAGCCGCATCCCACACATGGAATGGTCATGTACGCCAGTATCCGGAAACTGTGACCTATTTGGTTCTACCAACTATAAACACACAACTGCCAAACTATATACTTTCAATACACAATGACAAAATTCTGGTATTTGTTGCTTTAAGTACATTAAACGCTGATTGTATATTGGCCTCCCGAGGCTCTGGTTGAGTCGCTGTGTTGTGATTAAGGTGTAGGTCGTAATCCTAATTATAAATACGAGCTAGTAATCCATACATCCGATTATACCTGTGAACTGTTTATCAAATAATACACTATAAAATGATTTTAAAATTGAAAGCAACCGTCATTCAAAATTATCAAAAGTATTGTGTTCACCAAGGAATGTTGAGTACAATGATCATTATGGATATTTTTCAGGTTCTGGATTAGAAAACTATTTTTAGCTAAATTCTTTCTGACCGTGACCTCAATCGAGTGCGGATCCTGCTCATAAATAGTTCTAGTTATGGAAAAACGGTTGAATATAGATCTTTTTTTTTATTTAATTTTTTTTTTGTAAAGTGATCGACTGTTTTTCCCGGACAAAGAAACTGATAACAAGGGATATAATAGGTATCCTCCTTGGCCTATTTTTACCTGTAGTTTTCAAAAATAAAATATAAAAGAAACTTCTTGATAACCAAGTGTTTGATACTTGACTTGAGAGCATATTAAATTTCACTTAAGAAATTAAAATACAAAAATAAAAGAAATCTGCAAAGTGGAATAAATTCTCGATTGAGAAAATGGGACCACTTTTACAATGTGCAATGAATCAAGTTCTCACCTTGGAATAGCCACCGCTAGTCAGATTTCAGTTGATTGATGTAACAGAAAATCGTCAATTTTTTTCTTATTTATAGAGGAAACGGGATCGATCCTTAATTAGTTAATTACATATAGCTGAACCCATGAGCTTTATTGTGGGTTCGACATCTTGTTGAGTGTTAACAGATGGGGACAAAAGAAAAGGGTTCATATCCGAGAGATTTTGGTGTAACGACCTGCCGGCCACGACTACACGCCCCCTCTACTTCCGGTGTTTAGCCGAAATTCCACGAAAAGTACGAATAAGTTTATCGCTAACGTCACTTCAAGTACATGAACGTATGCCTTCCAAAGAACCGTTCTTTTGTATAGCGTTGTAGGTAGGTAAATCAGACACACAATATCTATCTATGTTGAAATCAAAACTATTTAGGTGACAAAGGCATTCATAACAGTGAATAAACTGTTGATACATGTTCTGTAGGTTGTATACCGGTGACTGGCCTTGGGGAACTTTGCCACCTCACCTGAATCTCTATAACGCTAACTAATATCACATTGCATTGCCGACACTAATATTATTTCATTTAAATGTCATATTGTATTGATCAGTTTAAATCTACAGGTTATGTTACAGGTGTGACAATAAACACATTTAAAGGTATATGCCTGATCAGGATCATACAATAGGTATATTTCCCTAAACATCAATGAACATACTTACTTAATTAGTTATAAGAAAAATCATATTCAGATGACATTTATTGCCTTTTATCTATAGTGGAAAAGATGAAGATCACTGCCTGTAAAAGTGATTAAAGAATACACATATTACAAGATCTAGTATGTACATAGCTGGTTGAACACGATAGGAAGGTAGTTAATGTGTCCAGACTCTACTCACTATCGAATAACATACTTTGTTCGTCATACAGAGACCGTTCTAAATGGATTTCGTTCTGTCGATAGGATTACTACATATTTTTCAGCGTTTTTGGATATAATTGTTTCTAGAATCAAGTTTCAACAGACTTATCTTTGAAATGTATGTTTACCCATATTCAACAAATAGAAGTATTCCCCCAAACTACCACCCTCATGTGACCCGTTGTCCTCCTGTGACCCCGGCTGTTGGGGGGGTCATTTACCCCTTGCAATCAAAACAAAGTGATAGTCAATAGGAAAGACGACCAAGGGTGTACTGTCATGCCTACAAATATTTTCAACATAAGAATGGGGTTTAAAAAAAAGCAAAACCATCAGGAATACTGAAGAACACAGAAAATATCTAAAATAAAATTACACAGGGATACATACATATGTACAATAAATAATAAGATTTACACGGAAATTCCTTAAAACACAAGGAGAATGAAATCCGGTGTTCTAGCAGAGTCATCTTCTTCTTGGTCAACCAAAGTAAGTAATGTCACGTTCTCAAATGTTAACAAGTTGTACAACAACGGAACCAGCAGCCAAACTAACAATCATCATACATGTTCAGCTTCATATCGCACAAAAATAAAACATTTCTCAATGAGATCGTTTCCACAGGCCCTTGAATATCGAATCAAAATGTTTACACATACGATGTGTAAACACTATAGGTTGGTGACACAGGGAGGTTGCTATCAAAAAATGGAAGAAATCACATAGGGAAATTGAAACCACACCGCTTATAATACAGACTCCTGGAAAGCTGTCCATGATGGTTTCGTTGTAGGAAAAGATAAAAAGGAAGATGAGCGGCTGATTTAGAAGAGTCTGTCCTGTCCTTGATTTCCAACACTGGTGGGTTTTTTACGATGGAACTGGTCAATAGATTTCTTGTTATTTAGAGACAAGACGTCATCAGCATATCAGAAAGTGAAATATGACGACTGCTCCAGGTCTTTGTGACCCGTTTTGATAAAATTAGAATGTGGTTTTGGCCGTAAAACTTTCAAACAGTCTTCATAAATCTCCAACTCTTAAAAACCGGGGTCGTGATAAAATGCATAGTCAACAAAAACATTGGTTATTAAAAAGCAAGATGTCACAGTGAATGTTAAGCACGTGAAAGGGTCTTAGTCAGTGTTTGAGGGGAGATCTTTTATAAAATCACTTTCGTATGAAAACAAAACTAATCAGCGAAGAGAGGGACACTTTGCGTCGCTCGGGAACAAGAATTATAGATTTGAAAACCTCACTTAGAACATCAAACCCGTCTTAAAGGCTACCTTTATACAGAGGTCACTTGTCTATAACGGCTAACTTTATACAGAGGTTACCTGTCTATAGAGCCTACGTTTATACAAAGGTCACATGTCTATAAATGCTTCCTTTATACAGAGGTCACTTGTCTATAAAGGCTACCTTTACACAGAGGTCACCTATCTATAGAGCCTACCTTTATACAAAGGTCACATGTCTATAAAGGCTACCTTTATACGGAGGTCAACTGTCTATAAAGGCTACCTTTATACAGTGGTCACCTGTTCATAAAGGCTACCTTTATACACAGGTCATCTGTCTTTAACGTCTAACTTTATACAGGGGTCACCTGTCTATAACGTCTACCTTTATACAGAGGTCAACTGTCTATAAAGGCTACCTTTATACAGTGGTCACATGTTCATAAAAGCTACCTTTATACAGAGGTCACCTGTCTATAACGGCAACCTTTAAACAGAGGTCACCTGTCTATAACGGCTACCTTTGTACAGAGGTCACTTATCTATAACGGCTACCTTTATACAGAGGTCACTTGTCTATAAAGGCTACCTATATACAGAGGTCACCTGTCTATAAAGGCTACCTTTATACAGAGGTCACCTGTCTATAAAGGCTACCTATATACAGAGGTCACCTGTCTATAAAGGCTACCTATATACAGAGGTCACCTGTCTATAAAGGCTACCTTTATACAGAGGTCACTTGTCTTTAAAGGCTACCTTTATACAGAGGTCACCTGTCTATAAAGGCTACCTTTATACAAAGGTCACCTGTCTATAAAGGCTACCTATATACAAAGGTCACCTGTCTATAAAGGCTACCTTTATACAGAGGTCACCTGTCTGTAAAGGCTACCTATATACAGAGGTCACCTGTCTATAAAGGCTACCTTTATACAGAGGTCACCTGTCTATAAAGGCTACCTTTATACAAAGGTCACCTGTCTATAAAGGCTACCTATATACAAAGGTCACCTGTCTATAAAGGCTACCTATATACAAAGGTCACCTGTCTATAAAGGCTACCTATATACAAAGGTCACCTGTCTATAAAGGCTACCTATATACAAAGGTCACCTGTCTATAAAGGCTACCTATATACAAAGGTCACCTGTCTATAAAGGCTACCTTTATACAGAGGTCACTTGTCTATAAAGGCTTATTTTAGTTACCTATGTAGTGCCATTCATAGTAGGTAACATCATACTACATGTATTTGATATTCTGTATAGCACAGTAATCTATTTCAACATTAATGGGTTTTTTTTTATGAAATACTGACTGTGGTGATAAAAAAGAAAATGTGGACCTTAGTCATCTGTGTAGAGAATTTCCGTGTCGTATTGAACATCTCTACTGTTGAACAACTTTTTGAACATGTAACGTCACTAGTTTTACATGTACTAAATAATGAACAATTATTCTGACATGTTATTAGCAGTGCCATAATTTTGAATGTCCTAGGATATGTTTCAATTTTGGTTTTGACCACCTTTATCTATCTTCAGTGCTGACATATTTCTCCGTGACAAGTAAATGGGAACTACACTGATGTCTTTTACTGTCTAATTCAGTGGTACGGAATAAAGAATACCAGCCATGGTATTATACCCCAAGACTCTAGACTTTTAGATAAATCTAAAACAAAATAGCTGCCCATCGGACCTAGTTATTGTATGGTGTACGTATCCAGGCACTTCCTTTGTTGACATGTGGATGTGACCGTAAGAACGTAAGCCTAGGTTCTAAATGTGTTTCTATATTTAGTCTTGCTACTTGAAACATACTCGACACATTTCGATGACACACTAACACCGAACCTGTGTTTTATCATACCCGGGGAACTATGTGTCCTTACTGTATATGAGATATTTATGAAAAGTTTGATTTATTTTCTATTAGTGTAGGTGTGTTGACGTATTTGTAATGATCTCGAATTAACGAAGTTTGGCCTTTTGTTATCAGTAATCTACGTAGCCAGACTATGCATGCAATCACATGAAAGAAAAAGTTATATTCTTGAAGAATTATTTTTAATTATGCGGAAGACAAACAAGATAACTAAAACACGTGCATAACAAGTTAAAGTTATGCAAGCTATTTTACATCAAAATGTTAACGAAAATGAAGATCAATGCATTACCTTGATGACTAACCAAAATACAGATGATATATGCTGTATTTGTTGTGGTTTATAGAGTTTGAAACATATGTTATTTGGAAAACACTAAAACAATTGCCTAAATCGAAGAGAATAAAGACAAAGGGAACAAAATTGCGAAATAGCACGTTCAATAGCTCGGAATATAACAAAATGTGGTCATCAACCTGTCTTCTGTAAAACAACTAATGGAATACGAACGATAATATTTGTCGGTAAAACAATGTCAGTTCTCTCGGTAAGATCCTACACCTACTGACTGGTATAAAAAAACACTGATAAAACATTCCAGACTGTTCACAAGTCAAAACATCAGCTCGATAAGACAAGGTCCTACTGTAATCTCATTTAATTACCGTCACACTTTTTGACGTTAGATAACCCACGTTGTACTTTTTCATTTTTTATGTATATAGAACAATGTGGGTGGGTGGGGTTTACAGTGATGTTTTTTTTGTTATTTATCGATATTTAAGAGTATTGATTTCAAACATGTTGCTAAGGACGTCTGACGTACCATGAATATCGAGGTGCCGTCTTACTTCCCCGTGTGATATAAAGCTGGGCGCGTTTGGTGTTCCTTAATCTTATTTGAGAACTTGACATTACTTACTTGGATTGACTAAGGTATACATAGTGGATGTCTTCGATGAAACAGAAGACGCTTACTCTTCCGGAACACATGGAATTATTCTCCTTGTATATGGCCATGGGTAAACATTTGATTATTTCTTTTGTTGACATTTCTTAACTCTTTTTTTTATCGAATTTTGGAGTTTGATTGAAGATTCTGTTGATATTTCGGTATTTTCTTTGTTGTTTTACAGACATTGTGTTAAAAATGCACGTGGATTCATAGATATGTACTGTCACCGACAGAGTTACGAAGATTGTTTTGATGCGAAGTGCTGGGAGACCAGTCGTTAAGTCGGAGATACGAAAACCCAAATAGTCACGTCACACCCACACAGGCATTTGATAACCTTTGATAATATTCACGCGCCCTTGTCTCTTGACGTCATTTCCTTCGGGCACATACGTTATAAAACGCCACATACAGGCCGCATGACCACAAAACCGTCTGTCTTACATTTAGTCTCAGACTTAACAGTCCTTAAGAATTCAACATTTCTTTACGGATTCACGGAAGATACTGTGTTGTAGAAACGATGAAGACCGTTCTGCACGCATGCGTAGTGTTTGTGTTGGCGGTAGCGGTAGAGGTATTATGTGAAGAGCCGGTGCTACCCTGTTCTCCTTGTTACAATGTGACATGCGGTGATCCCCCGGAGAGTTGTGAACTGGACAAGATCCCGTGTGGTTGTTGTCCCACCTGCGTAAGACTGGAAGGTCAGCTGTGCGAGGCTTTTTCTCCCAGGTACAATAATCAATAAGTATTTATGATTCTTGGTCGAATAACATTGAATGTGTACATTCTTGATTCTTTATCAGGTTTTCTCTCTCCTTGTCTGGTCTCACCGTATTTTGGGAACATGGGTTTCACAAAGACATTCTGGGGACACCTGTTTTCTAAAGAAATATCAACGATATGGTAGTGGCATTAAATAAGTCTGTGTCAGTTTGATAAAATAGACAATCGCGGAAACATTTAATTAAAGTGTTTACTTAGCATTTCATTCAATATCAGTGGAAATAAAGGGACTCTAATTGTGGGGACATTTACACGTGCCCTCTGCTTGTAAGCTTATATTCTTGTTATATAAAATCATGCTATCTCTTAACTTAATGTGATGTAATGTTGAAGGTGTGGTTATGGTCTAAAATGCCTCACCCCTGGAGGATTCTATGACGGACGGCCGCCATGGTACATGCAATACTTAAGAGGAGTGTGTGTCAAAGGGCCTCAGACTCATCCTGATGCCATCATTAATACAGGAAACACGTCCGTTGTAAGGGCCGCAGGTAAAGTAAACCTTAACAGATCCACGTCTTGTGGTGTGGATAGCAAAGACAAACATTCTAAACTTCATTAGGTATTGTGTCGGTGCTTTTTTTTAAGCAAGCTAAACCGTATGATCAGGATGACCTTTACACGTCATGTTTTGCCCGTTGCCTTTCACCGTCCACCATCTGCTTGTGAATAATTTCCTCGTTTTTATCTTCTACAGTTTACACCACTGGGATTTTTCAAACTTGTCTGAAATAATCTTTAGATTATTTTGACCAAGTATTTTGTTTGTGTTTTTTTTTTTTTTTTTGTTTTTTTGTTCCGAAATCAAATATGGAAGCCATTTTGGTAAATACTGTTCATGCTGTATTTGAGTGGAAGATTTGCAGAGATGTTGAGGAAAAGGTGACGTTTGAATAGGATTATTTTTCCGCTCCGTGAATTGTATGACCGGTCAGCGGCCATTTTGTACCATTTGCCATTGCAGCCAAGGTTTTCACACTCGAAATGAAAGGTTTCACTATTCTATAATGATTTCTATGCTACATAATTACGTGCACTATATACACGCCGTATATCATTTTTCAGTGATTCACTTATATGTAGCAACTACCTTTTTAAATCGCCTCCTAATTTCAAACAGCTGCGCCCTACGGCATCACTCATTAGTCCTAGAAGGACAAATCAGCTGTATGATGAAGTTTAATTCATTTTAGGCTCTACTGTATCTCATTCTAAAATTGTATTGATAAGTCCTGTTGGCATGTGCATCTTTTATACAATATCGCATAGTAGTTTGCAAAAATAATAATAGTAATAATGGTAAAGCAAAAACACAAGGTACTGCACAAATGTTGACGTGCTTATGAAATGAATTGTAAGTGGATATATTGCCAAACATCTACAAAGCTAAGAAAAGAATAATTTGACTTCTTTTACGTGGGTAATTTGGAAGACGTGCTTAAAACGGCATCACCGGACACTGATTTTTCCGTTGTTGTTTTTATTGTTATAAAATAATTCTCAAGTGTATCACATTATGAACAATCAGAGTGATGGTTTTCGCTGAAAGATGCCCATAAATGTATTCTGTATATGTATCTTTCGCGTCATATATAACAACGCATGCGCATAACACACCACATCAGTGAAAAAGAATGGCTTCCTACACGAATCGGTCGCGGTTGAAAAAATGTTACAGGGTCACCCACAGCGTAGGATTGCTATAATGGAAAAAGAAATCCCGCTTCGGAAGCTTAGCATGGCAGATAGGAACTTATCAGACATAAAAGTAATCAGGACGGTGCGTGTATTTTGCTGGATTGACTGACGGAATGACCCAAAACTTTGCCTGTTGTTTTCAATATATGCATGGTTGTTGTTGGACAGTTTTACAATGGCTATCAATGTCACGTTTTTCATAATTCTGCTTCTAAATTTGAGCTATCAAACGTTCATAACAAAGGTAAATACCAAAACGCATTGTGTTTTTTTGGTACAGTGTCGCTACATTGTTTCTCCGCCATCACGGTATCAGGAGGACTTACATGGGCTCTGTTGCCCAATACCAAAGATTTTCATTCAATAAAATCTTTGCGAAAAGAAAAACACGTGTTCGTGTATACAAATGAAAAGCCTTGTTTTCAAAACTGTCAAGTGATGTTATCATCTCTAAATTTCAGACGCATTTCCAGAGTAAATTTAGTTGTCAAGCCGTACATTGGAAATTGACTATGAATATCGGGAAAGTAAAGAAACGTAAATTAAAGTGTATAAAACACGCGCAATGAATAAAACGAAGGTCTTACTGTGATTTCCTTTAAACTGTTATTGTTCTGATTTCAGACACAGATGACAATGTGTAACAGCCGAGAAGTTTCCGCCATACCTTTGATGTACTCATCTGACGTAACATGTTTATGGAGACTTTTTTCAAGCATGCGACACTTTTCTTATTCTATGATCAAAGCTTCACTCAAATGTATCACCACATCAGCTCTTAACGCTCTGTTTCGCACAAATAAATATTCCCATCCAAAACCTTATTGACCTTCTCGTTGTATTGTTACGAAGGTATAATGAAATTCCTCTCCCCTACATAAACAGGGTTTTCCTTTGTGCTTTCCACCACAGAAACACTGAAGAGACAACAGCAGATCTGCAGCTCTCATTGCCACTTTTGAGATAGTGCTATATTGCTTTCTCTTTGACTCTCGATGCCCCTCTTGGCACCCGTCCTCATATGACCCTATCATGATAACCTTGTTAATTTTGTGATCTCGTGTACATGAGTTGATATGATCATGACGTAACACAGATGTGATAACATTTAAAATGACATAATAAAAATGCTTTACATTTCGATGATGGTCAATCAATGATGCTTTGTGTGGTATGAATTAAATTTCCGAGTAATATGTGTCTATGTTACCAGGTCGTAAATGTAGATCCAAATTACGTCCTTTTAAGGCGTCGGTTGGGAAAAAAGCTCAACTTCTACAAAAAATTCAGTTCATGAATAGAATGAACCCCCTAGAATAAGACATTGGTGTGGAATGGGGTGGTGCTTCCGAAATGGTTTACGATGCCATGAAGTTAACTCGTAAACTGCATGTCAAGTATTTGTACTTGAAATTCTTCCAAAATTATCAGAAATATCAACATTGCAAAATTACTTCAACTATGGTTCTAGAGAACCTGGCTAAATAGATTTTGACATTTCTTCCGATCACTTTTTAATTTTTCTCAGACAGCCCCTAGGCTTCAACATTTAAACCCTTAACTGACGAATCCAAGAAGAACAAGACATGTCTCTACCACGTGTATATCTAAATCCATATTAAAAGGTGTTAATCATTTGTTATGTTAAGTATACGTTCATGGAAATACCATCTTAGTATTGAAGGTACTTATCTATGTAAAAAATCTATTTCTCCTTCTGAGTAAATCTTAGGGATGAATTTGCAACTGTGTAAAACGCCGACTACCGGACAAAAAGAACTAAGCTACAAGATGTATTTAAACTTCTATGAAAAGGTTTTGTGATTAATTCGTTACTCCATAAAACGTCGGCTGCTACAGAGTTAAGCTTCTTCAAAAATGTGAAGGAGAACATGAAAGACGGGTGGATATTGTTAGCGAAACAGGCTATTACAGAAGCTATCGGATAAACATGGATATCGATGTTAAATCATTAGTAACGTCTAAGAAGTGATAAAAGAAGAGATAGGATGGACGTTCAATTAATCAGTTATTGGTTGAAGTTACTACTACGACGGGATACACACACTCACTGTGAAGTCCGCTATGGAATCGAGAATAATTGTACATATTGAGAAACTGTTCATATCTATCGTGTAATATATACATGTGTGATCTATTTCTCCCGGATTTGTACTTTTGGCACACCACTAATTCATTATGTGTATTTGTCATTTCGAATGAGCTATTGAACTTTCTATACACTGTTCAAATAGTAATGACTAATGATAAAGACAATCAGCAAGTTCAACCACACATCTGAATCGGATGTTGTCGCTTTGTTGACACAGGGACCTGGTGAAGGGGTAGTAGTGAGGGGGATGACAGGGGGAGCTGGTGGGGCCGGCAACTGATGGATGGTCTCAAATATACTTTTAAAGGCACTCTCAATATTGTAAAATACCAGTGGCTTCCCTAAGGGCGCAGAAAAATTTTTGTATGTTTCGTGCCCGGCGTATTCACCTCCATCCCATAAATGGATCCATGTTCCTTGTGGTAGATAACAATCCCCTTGAGTGGCCCCCTGGGTTAGTATTGGGGCCACCACGAGGTCGGAACCATACATGTATTGATACTTCGCACCAAAGCTCTCTGGTGTAAGATCTGCAAAGAACATAGGACGCTGTACTGGTGTCCCGTTCTTCACGTACTCTGCGATGGCCGCTCGCGTGTAGTTGGCAAGAATGCTGTGTGCTTTGGACAGGCGCGCAAAGTGCTGCAGCAAGTATGTGTTTGAGTACACTTGTACGTTCGCCTCAGGCTGGTTACCTTTAAAACATAATATTTGATTATTTTATTTATTGCACCAACCAACAGGTTCATACATGTAAAGACTTGATAAGTGATATGTTAAATCTTCGGCTATGTAACAATTAACATTAAAATGAACATTGAACAAGAATTTTAAAAAAGTGCAATACGTCAAATATAACCGCTTACTGACCTTCATGCGTACGCATGTATGGCGTGAAGACGGCCATTTCTCCTGACCGGATTAGTAGCTCAGGTGTCCGCTTAAGCCCCATACTGGCAAACGTGGTGTATCCTCCGATATCAAAGTGAGTCATACCTATACCAGAGATTCCGGAAGATAGAGCAGCAACGACAGTGGACGGTAGGCCATCGGCAGTATCGAAGTTCACATTCTGATCTCCCGCCCACATCAACGTCGTGTAATTAGAGATACCTTAATATTTATAAAACATTTGTTAGTATGTAAAAAAACAAAAAACAAAATATGCAAACACCAAATTCAATAAATAAATAATGCTTCTTTTATTTACGTGTAAATCTGATGTATTGTGTCCATATCATAGTATAGTATATCTGTTGTTTATGATATATTTTACACATTCGGGAAAGCATAATTACCTCCCTTCTACCATTATGATTTACAGTGTTAAATGTAGTGACATGAGTTATTTCCCTTAGTATCCTCTAACGGAGTGGTCTAATCATCCTGCGTTAGTGCTACTGTCCTCTATATCATTTTTCGTGTCTCGGTACACGGCCAGGAACACCTACGGATTTGTGAATTTGAAACCAAAATATGGCTTGGTGATGCTTGGTGTAGTGGACGCGGCATAATTCACATCACAATGACATTAGCTCTCAATTGACCAGCACATAAAGATAAAAAGATTTTATCCACATGATTTACTGCAGCTTATCCGACTCGTACCTGAGTATCCTGATCTCATGAAGAATATGACCTCGCCCTCCTTGCCAGATTCGTGCACTGCCTCTTTATTCATTCGACCCCAGTAGAGCGGCCATGCGTTGTGAAGAACTTCCCCAATTCCAAGCGTAAACTTGGCCGTAGTTGGAAGGTACTCTCCAAAATCTGCCATCCATCCTCCCAGACCGATATCGATCATGTTCTGCTTCAGGATCGTATCTGTAACGGGCCATGTGTATAATATGTAAGTTGTACAAACACCTATCGCCGATCACGTGTATGAAGAATAATTAAAATTTAACTCTATAATTAAAATTAAAATTAACAGAGACTTATAGTATGACTCTTCAGCAAGGTAGCAAATAAGTTTTTACCTCACTTAACAGGCGACCACACTAACAAGACAATAATCCATCGTTCTTCGTAATTATTAGATTCTTGAATTAAGAAAATTAGGAAACGTATCAAATGATGGGGCTAGTGAACCTGCCCATATGTTGTCTAAAATTTCTATCAAATATTTTTTAGTCTCCTCTAAGGTTTCAAAATTTAGGCCCTTGGCATTGCTAACGAGTCCTAGAGAAACGACACTTTAGTATGACGATTTGAATTCTGTATTTGGCTCTTCTGTATCTAATGCTGTATAGAAAGGTACTTGTGTCTTTTGTACAATATCTATCGATGTTTACCAGACGTGACGTACCAACTGTTAAAGAGTATCTTTACAATGTAAAACAAAAACAGAGAAAATAGCGACATGTCAACAGGATCTCATTTCAAATCCTTTGAAACAAAGGCCAAACTTCCCCAATACAGTTTAACATTTGGGTTGTTGTATGGCGCAGTGGTACTACACTCGTCTTTCACACGACCAGGGTTCTATACCCCGATCGGACGTGCAGAGGTATTGGGACAACTGCTCGATCACGTATGTTTTCCATTGGTACATCCGCACTAGCAAGGTTTAACAATGATTTTAAATTAAATAAAATTCATAGTAAAAATTTTAATACAAAAGTGTACATTGGGATTGAACTGAGTTAGGCTTCAACGTAGGGAATCAAGGCTCGACACGTCTGGCAATAAAAATACTTACTTTTGTACCAAGAAAAGGCGGATGGGTTAGTGAAATCTATAGAGCCACAGTAAAACTCCCCAAAATTGGTGAGAAGGGTTTTACTCGTCCGTGGATCCTTGATAAAGTAACCTTTACTATCTGCCTCTTGAAATAAGTCTCCATCTTTGTTGAGGTTTGGGTTAACATAAGCCAGAACCCGGATGCCTTGTTTCTTCAGATCAGTGATGGTCTCGTTCCACTCTGATATATAAACAGTGCATTATGTTTGTAATATTCCTTGATAATATGATTCCATTTTATAAGTAATCCGTTATAAATACGTTTACAATACATACTGTTGTACAGCGTGGTGTTGAGTTTCCAGTTCCAGAACACTCTCTTCCCGAATGAAGTGTGAATATCTCCGGACCAGTCCTGAATCCAAAGCCCATTAACCTGTACACCGGCATCCTGAACCGTCTTGAGTCTCGCTAACATCTAAAGCAATCATAAAGATGACAATTCAGACCCGTTCTGCATAATGTCCTACGATCTAGTAGTCAACAAAACATAATGTCATTCGGTCTAGTAGTCAACAAAACATAACGTCATTCGATCTAGTAGTCATTAAACATACTGTCATTCGGTCTAGTAGTCAACAAAACATAATGTCCTTCGATCTAGTAGTCAACAAAACATACTGTCATTAAAAAACATAATGTCATTCGTCTAGTAGTCAACAAAACATAATCATTCGGTCTAGTAGTCAACAAAACATAATCCTTCGTCTAGTAGTCAACAAAACATAACGTCATTCGTTCTGGGTCTAGTAGTCAACAAAACATATCAACAAAACATAATGTCATTCGATCTGGTAGTCAACGAAACATAATGTCATTCGATCTAGTAGCCAACAAAACTGAATGTCATTCGGTCTAGCAGTCAAAGAAACATAACGTCATTCGGTCTAGTAGTCAAAGAAACATAATGTCATTCGGTCTAGTAGTCAACAAAACATAACGTCATTCGATCTAGTAGTCATTAAACATAACGTCATTCGGTCTAGTAGTCATAAAACATACTGTCCTTCGATCTGGTAGTCAACAAAACATAATGTCATTCGATTTGGTAGTCAACAAAACATAACGTCTTTCGGTCTAGCAGTCAACGAAACATAACGTCTTTCGGTCTAGCAGTCAACGAAACATAACGTCATTCGGTCTAGCAGTCAACGAAACATAACGTCATTCGGTCTAGTAGTCAAAGAAACATAATGTCATTCGATCTAGTAGTCAACAAAACAGAATGTCATTCGATCTAGTAGCCAACAAAACTGAATGTCATTCGGTCTAGCAGTCAACGAAACATAACGTCATTCGGTCTAGTAGTCAAAGAAACATAATGTCCTTCGGTCTAGTAGTCAACAAAACATAATGTCATTCGATCTAGTTGTCAACAAAACATAACATCATTCGGTCTAGTAGTCATAAAACATACTGTCATTCGGTCTAGTAGTCAACAAAACATAATGTCCTTCGATCTGGTAGTCAACAAAACATAACGTCGTTCGGTCTAGTAGTCAACAAAACATAACGTCGTTCGGTCTAGTAGTCAACAAAACATAACGTCATTCGGTCTAGTAGTCAACGAAACATAACGTCTTTCGGTCTAGCAGTCAACAAAACATAACGTCATTCGGTCTAGTAGTCAACAAAACAGAATGTCATTCGATCTGGTAGTCAACAAAACATAACGTCTTTCGGTCTAGCAGTCAACGAAACATAACGTCATTCGGTCTAGTAGTCAAAGAAACATAATGTCATTCGATCTAGTAGTCAACAAAACAGAATGTCATTCGATCTAGTAGTCAACAAAACTGAATGTCATTCGGTCTAGTAGTCAACAAAACATACTGTCATTCGGTCTAGTAGTCAACAAAACATAATGTCCTTCGATCTAGTAGTCAACAAAACATAATGTCATTCGGTCTAGTAGTCAACAAAACATAACGTCATTCGGTCTAGTAGTCAACAAAACATAACGTCGTTCGGTCTAGTAGTCAACAAAACATAATGTCATTCGATCTAGTAGTCAACGAAACATACTGTCATTCGATCTAGTTGTCAACAAAACATAATGTCCTTCGGTCTAGTAGTCAACAAAACATAATGTCCTTCGATCTGGTAGTCAACAAAACATAATGTCATTCGGTCTAGTAGTCAACAAAACATAACGTCATTCGGTCTAGTAGTCAACAAAACATAACGTCGTTCGGTCTAGTAGTCAACAAAACATAATGTCCTTCGGTCTAGTAGTCAACAAAACATAATGTCATTCGATCTGGTAGTCAACAAAACATAACGTCATTCGATCTAGTAGTCAACAAAACATAATGTCATTCGATCTAGTAGTCAACAAAACATAATGTCATTCGGTCTAGTAGTCAACAAAACATAACGTCATTCGGTCTAGTAGTCAACAAAACATAACGTCGTTCGGTCTAGTAGTCAACAAAACATAACGTCATTCGGTCTAGTAGTCAACAAAACATAACGTCATTCGGTCTGGTAGTCAACGAAACATAATGTCCTTCGGTCTAGTAGTCAACAAAACATACTGTCATTCGGTCTAGTAGTCAACAAAACATAATGTCATTCGATCTAGTAGTCAACAAAACATAATGTCATTCGATCTAGTAGTCAACAAAACATAACGTCATTCGGTCTAGTAGTCAACAAAACATAACGTCGTTCGGTCTAGTAGTCAACAAAACATAACGTCATTCGATCTAGTAGTCATTAAACATACTGTCATTTGGTCTAGTAGTCAACAAAACATAATGTCATTCGGTCTAGTAGTCAACAAAACATAACGTCATTCGGTCTAGTAGTCAACAAAACATAACGTCGTTCGGTCTAGTAGTCAACAAAACATAACGTCATTCGATCTAGTAGTCAACAAAACATAACGTCGTTCGGTCTAGTAGTCAACAAAACATAACGTCATTGGATCTGGTAGTCAACGAAACATAATGTCATTCGGTCTAGTAGTCAACAAAACATAATGTCCTTCGATCTAGTAGTCAACGAAACATAATGTCCTTCGGTCTAGTAGTCAACAAAACATAATGTCATTCGATCTAGTAGTCATTAAACATAATGTCATTCGATCTAGTAGTCAACAAAACATAATGTCATTCGGTCTAGTAGTCAACAAAACATACTGTCATTCGGTCTAGTAGTCAACAAAACATACTGTCATTCGGTCTAGTAGTCAACAAAACATAATGTCCTTCGATCTAGTTGTCAACAAAACATAATGTCATTCGATCTAGTAGCCAACAAAACATAATGTCATTCGATCTAGTAGTCACTAAACATACTGTCATTCGGTCTGGTAGTCAACAAAACATAACGTCATTCGATCTAGTAGTCATTAAACATAACGTCATTCGGTCTAGTCATTCGGTCTAGTAGTCAACAAAACATAACGGCTTTCGGTCTAGTAGTCAACAAAACATAATGTCATTCGGTCTAGTAGTCAACAAAACATAATGTCATTCGATCTAGTAGTCAACAAAACATAATGTCATTCGATCTAGTAGCCAACAAAACTGAATGTCATTCGGTCTAGTAGTCAACAAAACATAATGTCCTTCGATCTGGTAGTCAACAAAACATAATGTCCTACGATCTAGTAGTCAACAAAACATAATGTCATTCGGTCTAGTAGTCAACAAAACATACTGTCATTCGGTCTAGTAGTCAACAAAACATAATGTCATTCGATCTAGTAGTCAACAAAACATAATGTCATTCGGTCTAGTAGTCAACAAAACATAATGTCATTCGGTCTAGTAGTCAACAAAACATAACGTCATTCGGTCTAGTAGTCAACGAAACATAATGTCATTCGGTCTAGTAGTCAACAAAACATAATGTCATTCGGTCTAGTAGTCAACAAAACATAATGTCATTCGATCTAGTAGTCAACAAAACATAATGTCATTCGGTCTAGTAGTCAACAAAACATAATGTCATTCGATCTGGTAGTCAACGAAACATAATGTCCTTCGGTCTAGTAGTCAACAAAACATAATGTCCTTCGATCTGGTAGTCATTAAACATACTGTCATTTGGTCTAGTTGTCAACAAAACATAATGTCCTTCGATTTAGTAGTCAACAAAACATAATGTCATTCGATCTAGTAGTCAACAAAACATAACGTCATTCGGTCTAGTAGTCAACAAAACATAATGTCATTCGATCTAGTAGTCATTAAACATACTGTCATTTGGTCTAGTAGTCAACAAAACATAATGTCATTCGGTCTAGTAGTCAACAAAACATAACGTCATTCGGTCTAGTAGTCAACAAAACGGTCTAGTAGTCAACAAAACATAATGTCCTTCGATCTAGTAGTCAACAAAACATACTGTCATTCGATCTAGTAGTCAACAAAACATAACGTCATTCGGTCTAGTAGTCAACAAAACATAACGTCGTTCGGTCTAGTAGTCAACAAAACATAACGTCATTCGATCTAGTAGTCATTAAACATACTGTCATTCGGTCTAGTAGTCAACAAAACATAATGTCCTTCGATCTGGTAGTCAACAAAACATAATGTCCTTCGATCTAGTAGTCAACAAAACATAATGTCATTCGGTCTAGTAGTCAACAAAACATACTGTCATTCGGTCTAGTAGTCAACAAAACATAATGTCCTTCGATCTAGTTGTCAACAAAACATAACGTCAACAAAACATAACGTTGTTCGGTCTAGTAGTCAACAAAACATAATGTCATTCGGTCTAGTAGTCATTAAACATACTGTCATTTGGTCTAGTAGTCAACAAAACATAATGTCATTCGGTCTAGTAGTCAACAAAACATAACGTCATTCGGTCTAGTAGTCAACAAAACATACTGTCATTCGATTTGGTAGTCAACAAAACATAATGTCATTCGATCTAGTAGTCAACAAAACATAATGTCATTCGGTCTAGTAGTCAACAAAACATAATGTCATTCGGTCTAGTAGTCAACAAAACATAATGTCATTCGATCTGGTAGTCAACAAAACATAATGTCATTCGGTCTAGTAGTCAACAAAACATAACGTCATTCGGTCTGGTAGTCAACGAAACATAATGTCAACTGGTAGTCAACGAAACATAATGTCCTTCGTTCTAGTAGTCAACTAAACATACTGTCATTCGGTCTAGTAGTCAACAAAACATAATGTCCTTCGATCTGGTAGTCAACAAAACATAATGTCCTTCGATCTAGTAGTCAACAAAACATAACGTCATTAGGTCTAGTAGTCAACAAAACAGAATGTGATTCGATCTAGTAGTCAACAAAGCATAACGTCTTTCGGTCTAGCAGTCAACGAAACATAATATGCATGTCAAATCGCATTGGCTGGATCTATACACGTGAGTCAAAAACTGTTGAGGACTGGTTTTCCGGTGAATATCGATTTCTAAATTTAG